TGAGGGTTTTTAGTTGGTTGTAGGCATCCAGCAAGCAGCCTTGTTAGATGTAAGTTTCATACTTTTTGTCACTTCTCAGCCAAATGTGTCTGCAATCTTGAGGGAACTGAGATTCAAACCCATGTCATCCAGAAAGACATAAGAAATCTACCCAACAACTTTGTGCAGTTGGCAATGAGCTATACCTATTGTGTTAGGGTTAGTATACTACCAGGCTGGAAAAACCTCGATAGATGGAGTGGTGTTCGAATTACTTAAGCCAATGAGACACAACTCTCAGTGTTGTCACCTAGTTATTAACGTAACCAATATGCTATTTAGGCCATGGCTGACCTTCCGTAGGACTAGATTACATACACTGATTAGTCAGTGTAGGGGACATCAGATCCCTACAGGTTGCCAATGCGCTTGGCTGAGAAGTTGGAGCAAGTAAAAACTTAGGCCTACCGATTACTTCCGACCGAATAGCATACATCAAAGTTCACCGCTTTCGTGAGTTTTATAACTTGGTGACCAGACTAAAAACAGTGAAAGATGAAATTCGGTCAGCACCCGGGACGTCATGATTTTATTCATTTTTCCATTAGGTTCCTAGTGGAACATGGGGTTCAGCAGCACTCTTTTCAACCTGGCTCCACAGCTACCCACAAACTTTCATTTCTTCCTCACACCATCCCCTCCATGTCACCCTCATCTCACACACCCAACTCGTCGGTCCCCATTTCGCCTCCACTCGACGACCTGGCCTGGCCACGCCTAGTCTGACCTCACACATGATGTCCCAAAACCATCTTCTCAGTGAATGTCCAATCCAATACAATCCAATCCAATGCATCTCCACTCTCTTCTACTGCATACTTGTTGCACGATAAGTTCTTGGTTGGTTGTTCCGCTGCCTGCATGCCTGCCTGCCAGCCAGCCACAGTCAGTTCCTTGTTGCTTATTCCTATTATTATTCTGGCCATCTCATCTCCATCTTCAGTGTCGGTATCCAGTGAGTGTAGGCGGCGTCTCTTCATGTATGAATGTATGAATGTATGTATGTATGTATGGATGGATGTATGAATGTATGAATGTATGTATGTATGTATGTATGAATGTATGAATGTATGAATGTATGTATGTATGTATGTATGTATGTATGTATGTATGTATGTATGTATGTATGTATGTATGTATGTATGTATGTATGGATGGATGGATGGATGGATGGATGTGTTCAGTCTGTTGGAAATGCTTTTCGTAACACTCCAACTCTCTCAGCCACATAGTATAGAAGCAGTGACTGACTTGACTGACATTAGTGTTGAGAATCCGGATGTTCTTCACACTTTATGCTGAGTGGAATACATACAGTCGAGTCGAGTGGAGTGGAGTTGATCTCCACACTGATTATTTGAGATGATGGAAGTGTGTCTTGCTGTCTTCCCAGTCGGGGCTTTGATGTCCTTATCTGTGCTGCCGGCTGCTGTAATAGAGACGATGTTGGTCTGCTTATTTAGGTGAAAGAGACGCCTTTGTTTAGATTTCTCCGATTGATGGTGATTGTTGCTTGTTGTTGTTGAAGTTGTTGTTGTTGTTGCTGTTGGTTAGGTATCTTCATCACCTCTGTCTTCTGTGTGTTCAGGTGAAGAGAGTCTCGTCTTTCTTCTCTACCTCGCCCCTTCTCTTAACTTGTTAGTTTTTGCCTGTAGATTTTGGTGTTTGTGCTGGAAGACATTAGACATAAATGATCATCATTGTGTATGAAATTCAAATCTTCTTCTAGGGTCTTGTCATCGGTCAAACAGTGAATGCCCATCTTCCTGCTCTTCACAATTTGCTGTATGATCCAGTTTAGTGGACCACAATTAGGAAGATAATCGGTGATAGTAGACGACCCTGTCTTACTCCTGTCTTTGCATCAAAGGCATCACTGAGCTTTCCATTGTGAATCAGTTTGCATGTAGCATCTGGCATCATATAGCATATAGCTGCTGTTGAATGAGGTTGATTAAGGTTTGTGGCACTAAAACTGTAGTGTTGAAGCAGCTTGCAAATTACTAGTCGGTTGACGTTATGGAAGTCTTTTTCAAAATCTGCGAGCTGATTCTCATTCTATGCTGTGTTTTGTGATAATGCGTAGAGAATTCTAATATAATTATTTTAAAAGGCCTAGGTTGTATCTGAATGTGTCTAAACTGTTAGGTTAGCTGTTTGTCATGCTAGACAGCTTTGCTGTGCTTTATTCTACTTGCAAAATGAGACATATTCTGAACTTTGGAAACTAGTGGTGTATGAATAAATTACGATCTCAAAATTATTGTTGCTCTTTGGCTAGATGTAAATATGTTTGTTAAAAGCTCAGTTATGAGAAACTTCCGATCGCACAATGATCAAAGGTGTCTCATTTAGTTAAGATAAAAATACACAATTCAAGTAATAAAATCCAGTGGCACTTCTGCCTTTATTACCTTTAGAAAAAACCTGAAATGGTTAAGTGTTTGGAAGCACGAATGTATTGAAACCTCGCCTAGGTTCATCTCAAAACAATGATTCACTTTTAAGTAATCTCGTCCTATGGAACAGCATCAAAAACCCTATGCAAAAACAAGTAAGTGACTGAGTCAAGCCGGACTTAAAGTCGAATTTTGCTAGACGTCAATGGCCAGCCTCTAAAGAATCTAAACTTGACAATAACAGTTGGATATTGTGATAATGAATACACAAGAGTCGCGCGAACTACGCTATAGTAAGTTAATAACTGGATAATTTCTCTGATAGGTTTGTTTTATGTTCTTAGATTGCCGTCAGATCAAAACGTTTACTCTCAAAAATGAGTGAAGGAGGCTAAGGCAACAATCAGCTTGTTTAGAATCAATCTTTGGTCTACTCATTCAGAGTGTTCCAGTGTCCTTGAGTGCTGATATTCCCTCAAATATGGTTTTCAGATCCAACACAGTTTGAAGATCATTAAGAACAGTTTAAGTCTTTTGTTCTCACATCTTTCTATGGCTTAGACTGATTAAAATACAAATGAATGGGTGTTATGATGCTTTTCTGAGGTAATTCTAAACAGAAAAATAATGTAACGTGTAAATTGAAGTGTTACGGTGATATAGTTATTTCTTTTCCAGATATAGAGGAATTTTTCCTGAACGGAAGTGACCATAACAGCTACAGGATGAAAACATTAATAAAAGGCTTACTCTATGAGAGGAAGTAACAGCTAATCTATTGAACTTTGCCATGATGAATGTCATTAGTTATGGGAAGTTCACTTCATTATGATCTGTGGAACCGTAATTGTTACACATTAGTGAACTTTCGAAACTCATAAGCCTCATTACCCTCTACATCTGACAGTGTCAGTGTGCAAGTCTCTAACTAACAAGCTTGTTAATTGATTGTTGGAGTTGTTCAAATTAACTAGACAATAGTGTTTTTTAAAGTTTGTTTTGAAAAATTATTTCATATTAGTCAATTACTTTCATACCGTAAACAAAGCCACGTTCTCTTTTGGTGTGAATTCTTTGTTTACGGGTGTCTGTGTGATACAGTTAGTTGGCATTTTATATGATTTGATTTCTCTACAAACAATATTTTGTTGTTAAGTCCACCGCGTAATCTTAAGGAGCTTCGCCTCTTATGCACAAATAACTCTGGATCTATATTTGATGGCAGACAATTTCACCAGTTAGATAATTTAGCCATGAGAAATCCCCTAATTTATTTGCTTTAAGATGTTTACAATGTCATATGCTGGCGACCTGTCTTAAAATTTGATTGCAAAAGTTGCTGTATGTAAAAGATATATAGGTGAGAGTGATGTGTGATAAGCTGGAAGATACCATTTCAATTCCTAATTGAATAAATAAATCTTAGGGTAGTATATCGTCAACGTGTGGGAAAGAAAAAAAGATCGAGGATCATTCTCAGATAGTCTAATAACTCATTGTCAAGACAAGTCAGTAAAGTGATTCATGAACAGGAAACCTAGATGGGTAGTACAGTACCTAGAGACCCACAATTTCTGTCCAATTTGGTATAAACAAACGTTAATCAAACTTATGCTCAGCCAGACTCAGGAGGTATGGACAAATGGTAATTTGGAGGCAGAAACGCAAGACGTCTGGTAATACTCTCTTGGCCATCTTAGTAGTTTAGGTCATCAAACTGCGTATTTTGACCATTTAATTCCTTTTGCCGTTATATATATATATATATATATATATATATATATATATATATATATATATGAGTATTTACACGAAGAATTTTTAATGACTCTTCAGATAAATCATCCCTATAAACTAAGTGCACTTAGCAGCAACGAATAGTCTTCATAGCTTGTGTGAAGAAAGTGGGGAGCTAGAATCGCTTCTACTATTGTAAGCTCGTTTAATACTCACCTTCTAATTTGTTTAAGCGACAGTGTAACCCCATTTTTCTGGCTTTTTAGAATAGAGAACATTGATCTCATCCAGTATAATATATGGCTTATGTGATAAAACACGAATTAAAATAATTTGTATAGGTATTGATTAGTACTACAATTTATTGAGAATCACATCATCGTGAAATCACCCAGCTGATCTTCAAATGGAGGCCGAAATTTTTGATCAGTTCCACTACATTTTCTGATAATGGTGGTCAACTGAATACTTACTCTTCGTTGTCTTAAGGGATACCAACAACTCTTGGTTAAATATACTTTTACAATATGTCATCTGAGCATTGGTTTGTCCTAACTATTGAGAAACATTGACAATTAAGATGAAGCTGAATTAAGGTGGTGCAAAGTCAAGAGGCCCGACCAAACCAGATAACAGGTCCTAGACTGAATTCAAAACGACTAATTTTCGTATATATTCTGCTCAAATACAATGTGATTTTGATCCTAAAGTATCAGCTTACGAGTATTCTTAACAATTCCCCCAAGGTAATGATGTCGGATAAATTTTTAGACAGCAAATAGTTCATTCATTTTTTGAAAAAAGGAATAAGAATGACCAACGTACCTGGATACTATGGAACAAATTTGGGGTTAAGTCAGATACTGATATCTTCAGGTCACTATGAGACTGTGGTCCAGGTGTAGATCTATCGATATCAGGCTCCACATCGCTCAGACGAAGATGCTTTATTATGTATGATAGTATAATATACAGAATGCCGAAGTTAACCGACCCTGGCTAAAAGTAATTTATGTAATGTATCGCAAAGATTACATCTGGTGTTCCAAGTGCCAAATCCAGTAGTTCGGATAATTTAACAGATTTATTAGATAGTTGAGAATAATCCATCTATTTCTATGTGATGATATCTTGTGGCATGTGCCAATCAAAAGCTTGCTATGTATAAGCAACTATTTTAGCAGTTTTTGCTCATTTTCGAATATTCACCTAATCTTGCTATGACATTCAAGGTCAGTGGAGATACTTTTCAGTATTAAAACAGATTTGGAACGAGTACATATCTGTTTGACTTTGCTTTCATAAAGTTATGCGCACAAATTATAAAATGACGGAAATGGATGAGATAAGATTTGGAACTAGAGGTAAATTTAGTGTTTTTCTTCATAAGCTTATGGGATTATTATACGAAACTATGCATTTCTTCAATTTATTTAGCTGCATAACTAGTGCTCTGAAAACTAATATACTATTTGTGGTCTAAAAACTTAACGCCAAAATACAGTCTCGTCTTTGTACTGACTTTCCACCTGCATTGGTCTTCAGTTCACCTCGGGCATCATTCTCCAAGATAAGTGTTTCTCAGTTCATGCGCCCATGGGACCTTCAGCCAGCGTTTTGGGTCGAACAAAAAGGAATAAGTGGACGGCGTGCCCTTAGCGCAAGAACGGTTAAGTTGAGAGAGAAGAATACTTTATGGAACTCACCGTTCGACAGCTATCAACGTTTCATCAGTCAGACCCTCCCTTGACATTTCGTAAAGTCGGCCCCGGTCATCCCGGTGAGCACTGAGAATCTCAGGCACTAACGTTTCAGCGCCAATTGGCATGCCAAGAACATCCCGGAAGGTAAGTCATTCTCAGTCTGAAAGACGTTAAGTTGCGTGTACAGCAAATTCACGTGGTTGAGCAGTAAAGCGGGTAAGGCAGGATCTCCACATATGCAACTTAGCCTCGAAATCCCTTTTGTCACCGCAGCCTGGTTCATTCTGCATGTCCCGGATTCCAGGCCTCGCCTAACGCATATGGCCCTCATTTGCAGGCAAGGGGCTTCCTAAGATGGTAGTTTAGAGGCTATTCAGACAGATAGGGGAACTACATGCCAAACAACTTCAATTGTCAAAATTCACTCGGCGCTATTTTACTTCGAAACACGTGTGCTACTTGGAAGGGGTCACATCCAAACCCCTGATGACCACTTCTCAACACGAAGCATCGCATGAAGCTGCCAACAAAACGGTCCGCAAAAAACTTGTTGTCCATGGAGAATTTTAACATTCTTTCCTTTGAATGGAGGGTGGAGGAAGAACACGTCAATGGATCCCTTAATCACAAATCTCGAAGAGAATCTTAACCGACAGGACCATCCGAAAAAGTCAGGAGCACCATTCGCCAGGGACAAGTTGACCTGGTATCACTGCCTGGTCACGTGCTGACGAATAACAGTCACCTTGTAGAAAACACAAGCCTTAAGTCTCTAGCACTTGGAAGTTATCACAGTGTAATAGCATCCTCCCTATTGAATAAAGACAGCCCATTAGACGACGACAAGGATGCCTTCACAAGCTCGGACAGGGCAAATAATAAAGAAATGTAGAACTAGCTTCTTAGAGCACCGTCAACCCCGAGACTAGGAGTCTCCTCCGGTTTATAAGCTACAGTCACTGGTGGAAAACACAACTTGGTGGATTATTCTTGTTAACGCGCTGGGAATGACGCAGACCCCCCAGGAAAAAATTCCCGTCATCTCATGGTGCAACAAATCGATTGATATGAGCAGGAAAATGCCTAGTTTAGGTGGCGGTCACCCCATGAGAAATCGGACATTACTAATAATTTATTCTCGTGTAATGAATTTGACGTGGGAAATACCAGTTTACGGGCATCATAATGCATATAATGTCTGGTGTATTACAACTAATGCATTGTCCGGTGCATTACACATGGCATGTTGGTGATGTCTATAGCAATATCGGATATTTTGCAAGCTGTGAAACGGGCGCAACTATGTCTTCTCTTGGCAAAAACAAACGGCTTATGAATTCTGATCACCGCCATTGTTTATGCCGTCTACAGGTGGTGAGGCCCCCAGGGGGGTTTTGGTTGCGCTGCAAATGATCAGTGTAGCTGGCCCGTACGCGAGGCCCGGAATGACGATCTCTCTCGAGCTAATTCTTAGGCCTACATTTTCACTGACCACAAGAGACTCATCCACACACCATGGGATTACGGCAAATACCTAAATCCGGGAATTTCCGGTTGTTTATTAGATAGGATTTATAGCGACACGAATCAGTTTCGTTAAAAATGGTTTTCATGGTGCACAGAAGTAAGCCCATTTACTATCTATACGGTGATGGACCATATGCAGAGTTCCGGTGTGTCCAATGCCCAGTTATGCAGCTTTATTAAAGAAGCACGATAAACGTCTGTTATCCCTTTTTGATCAGGTCACATGCTAAAAATTAATGAAAACACAAAAGTGTAGTTTTGCTGCATATAACCTGCATTCGGAGTCCCCGAGAAGCTCATCTCCTTTCTGGTGCAGTCTTAAGCGCCACTGTAACCCATCGGACTGTCCACTGCATGGGCGGTTCCGCATGTAGCCATTTAGAGGGCATTAGTAAAAGGATGAGTTCATCGTAAAAATATTCAGAAGACCCCCAGGTGGTAAGAGCAGTTTAATTCGGCACCTATTTGCAATAATTTTCAATATAGTTTTGGTGAGTTAGCACCCTTTGGTCCAGGTGGAGCTCATGATGTTCCCGTCCAGCTGTTGCTGAGAGGCAAAGAAAGAAAGGTGACGACAGTAACGGAAAAGAATTACGCCAGACACAATATGAAAGAAAAAATTTCTTATCCCTTCTAGCTCACCCAAACTACAAGTGCGCTTTGATTTATGCATGTTAATCATAATCAAGTTAAAAGGAAATTCGAACAAACACCAGGAACATTTTTGATCTTCCGACTACCACAATGAGAAGATGGATCAGTGCTCTCACAGATTCTGCGAGCATCCCTAAATTCTTTGAGCCAGAGGGAACCTGCGGATTACGATGACTTTATTTTATGCATTTAACGGTCCAGGCGTATTTTTATAAGCTCAAGACGCAAACGACAGATGCATGGTCTATCGTCAACTTGCCGAATGAGTTGTGGAGGAGGGGTAATGAACCTCCAGTGCGTATTTCCTCGGAAAGCTTATTCCAAGTGCGACAGAATTTTTCAGGGGGAGGGTACTTCATTGGCTACTGGTACAAAACTCCGTTTCCAGCAATGGTTTATGGTTAAGAATATCATGGTTAGGCGTTAAAACTGGTTTAATTCCACAGCAGCAAGAGTGCAGGTGCTTACCAACTAACTTTTCCCCTTTACAAGAGGCTGATTAATCCTTGCAACATTAGAAGCAGAGGACACAGGTACCTTTAAGAAAGTAACGTGGTAAAATGTGCGAGACACCCACGAGGGCCAGGGACACTTCATGACACAGAGGTGACGACAGACAAAGACGTCAACCCGGGGAAAAGTCACGATGTAGAACCTCTATATAGTGAGGAAGTGGCTTGGATGTCAACTTCATGACAGCGAACAGATCAACAGCGACGAACGGTAGCCACGACTCTTCTTAACCACCGAATTTCCACCACTCGACGACTGCGGAGAAAAACTGCTGTGCTGAAGTTTTCAAAAGATTGTCAAAACTTAACCTGAACAACTTTCGAAGCAGTGATGGTCTAAGACCGGCCATACTAAAGAACCACATCAACGCACCGAGTTTATCCAGGTTTTACTGTTTCAGAAGCCCATTAATGAGGAGCCTAATGCTGGAAAAGCAGAGGCGACCCATCTTGTCACCGGCGTTCAGGGGAGGCGACATAAGGAGCGCAACGAACGACAGACTTGTTTCTCCACTACTCAAGCTTATTTTGGCCCTCGGAGGCATGATTATTGTTTTATGTCAGGATACTTGTGATTTCCCCGGGCCGAACTGCCCCCTACCCGTCGGCAGATAGACTCCCATGCAGCTATCTCGGGTCCGCAGAATATTCATGATGTTAAACTGATGTTTGTGACTGGCGGGGAGTTCAAGACGCGCGACTTAGCCCTGTGAAGCAACGAGTAATTAAAAATATCAAAACGGCGACTGACACCTGCTTCAAAGGAGGCAGTTATCGTGCCCCAGTGTCCAAATGGGTAGCTTTTCGGCGTTTGAGGTAGTGGGGGTACTGGGACCAGAATTTCTAACTTCGATGCAGATGCATCCAGCTGACGTGTCTCAAATAGGACGAAACGGGCACCCCGAATCCCCATTCTCTTCACCATTATCAATGTGACAGTGTTTGAGACTCTTTTTGGTGAGGGCGGAAGGTCTTCTGCCGCCGACCCACTGACCATTTTGGACATATGCAGCTGAGACAATGAGTGGGCAGTGCATATTGCTTTTCATGGCCTGGCAAAGGCTTCTGACACTGTCTTTCAAATATTAGGTAACGAACCTCACCCTCTATCCTCAAGGGTCACTAGACTTCTCAAGAAAAGAAAGAAACGGGCAACACGATTAAGGGTTGGCTGTCATATTAAAGTGCACACAAATGGTAACATTGCATCTGCCTTTGATAGTTTTGACATTTTTCAAGCATCCATGGTATGACATTTAGCTGATCGATAATATTTTACTCCTGCATGGGCAAGCAAGTGCCATTGTGCAAACATGATTAGAACGCTCAAAATTTGAAGGTGGTGCGCCATAGATGGCTTGTGCCGATTAACTAAAGGGTTGAGCACTAGGTGAATGGATTACACCGGGTGATGACTGAAGGTAAAATGGAAATTCGGATTGAGGCCAGATTCGAACCAGCAACCATCGGGTTTCCGGCCCAGTGCTCTACCAACTGAGCTGCGATGTCAAAGGTTCAGATCCCACCTCATTACAACTCTTCCTTTCTCCTTCAACACCATCCAGTATCGAAGATAGCCTGCTAATCCATGGCTATCTCAGACGACCAAAATAATATATGGATTATAGATGGAATATGTTCGTAAAATCCCAACGAAAGGGAAGATATATTTCTAACGTTTCGCGAGCTACAAACCATATATTCATACTCTGTCGCGGTCACGGTGATTCGGAGTTGGAGTGCGCCTGATAAAATCTCTTCGCAGACGCTAAGTGTAGTACGAAAATAGTGACGCGTGTCTATGGACGACTGTTGGCGGCCATTCGAAACAAAGTTGTTTAA